TTTCTAATTAAATCCCCAAACAGCCACAACCTTAATTTAACCATAATTTGTTGTTGCCAATCTCTATTCTTGTGTATATTTATCCTAATTTTTCCAGATCGATGATGTAGTTTGAGACTTTTCAAACAACTTTCTTTTATTCTTTCTATTAAACGATGCATGATCATTTCCTGTACTATGTATTTGAAACGTGCCAATCCAATACTTTGGGTATTGAAGTGGATAGAGCTAAAATTGAGTTAATTGAAAAACTTCTCCTTCCAAAATCGTTGAAAGAAGTTAGAGGTTTTTTGGGACATGTAGGTTTTTATAGAAGATTCATTATGGACTTTTTTAAAATTGCTACGCCTCTAACTAATCTTTTAGTGAAGGACACATCGTTTGTGATTGATAGTGTTTGTTTGCATGCATTTAAATGTTTAAAAGAGAAATTGATCCAAGATCCTATAGTTTTGGCCCCCATTTGGAATTTGCCTTTTGAGATCATGTGCGATGCAAGTGATAATACTGTAGGTGCAGTTTTAGGACAAGGAATAGATAGGAAATTTCATACCATTTATTATGAAAGTAGAATCATGAATGAGGCACAAAAAAAATTATACAACAGCTGAAAAAAAAAACTACTTATTGTAATATTTGCTATTGAAAAATTTAGAACTTATTTGATCTTGTCTAAAGTGATTGTCTATACTGATCATTCTGCATTGAAGTATTTATTTGTTAAAAAAGATGCAAAACCTAGGTTGATAAGATGGATTTTATTGTTACAAGAATTTGACCTAGAAATCATAGACAAGAAAGGCATCGAAAACATGGTAGTTGATCACTTGTCTAGATTGGACGGGGAGTATGTGGAGAGCATGGATGAACACCCTTTGCATGATGATTTTCTTGATGAGAAATTATGTTTTGTGCATGATAATGATGAACCGTGGTATGCTGATTTTGCTAATTTTCTTGTATGTGACGAGTTGTGCCTAACATTTCTTTTCATCAAAAGAAGAAATTTTTATCTGATGTAAGTCACTATCTTTGGGAGGAACCGTATGTATACAAGATTTGTGCAGATGGCATGGTGAGAAGATGCATACCAAAGGAAGAGGTGCGAAGTATAGTTAGCTTTTGTCATGACAAAGAAGCAGGTGGACACCATGGACCATCCAAGACGGCGGCGAAGGTTTTACAAAGTGGATTTTATTGGCCGACATTATTCAATGATGCTTATGCCTATGTAAGTTTTTGTGATCGATGCCAACAAACAAGTAATATATCAAGGAAAAATGAGATGCCCCTAAACAATATTCTTATTTGTGATATTTTTTATGTTTGGGGCATTGATTTCATGAGTCCTTTTCCAAAATCCTTTAATAATGAGTATATACTTGTTGTTGTTGATTATGTGAATAAATGGATGGAAGCAATTGCATGTCCCATTAATGATGCTAAGGTTGTAATCAAATTATTGAAAAAAAAATATTTTTACTAGATAAGGTACACTAAGGGCTATCATTAATGATGGAGGTAAACACTTTTGCAATAAATAGTTTGATAATTTATTAATTAAATATGGTGTAACCCATAAGATTGCTACCCCCTATCATCCCCAAACTAGTGAACAAGTAGAAATTTCAAATAGGGAATTGAAAAGTATTTCGGAAAAGACTGTGAGCTTATCTAGGAAGGGTTGGTCAATGAAATTTGATAATGCACTTTGGGCTTATAGGACAGCTTTCAAAATATCCATTGGAATGTCTCCTTATTGGTTGGTGTTTGGTAAGGCTTGTCACTTCCCTGTTGAATTAGAGCATAAAGCATATTGGACAATGAAACTGCTTAACTTTGATTTGCAAGTTGCAAGTAAACAAAGAAAGATGCAATTGAATGAACTTGAAGAATGGTGGCACCAAGCTTATGAGAATTTTAGAATTTATAAAGAAAGAACAAAGGCATGGCATGATGCACACCTTAAAAAGAAAGAATTCACAGTTGAGGATAAGGTTCTTCTTTAAGTTGATGACAATGTTAAATTTAAGTTTGGGGGGAGGAGATTGCAATATTTGCGAAAATTTTTGTGAACCCGAGAGCATAAGCATGGTATGAATGCACGAATTTTTTTTTTCGAAATATGCTTTAGCTTAAGTTTGTGATTGCTGGATTTTTCTTGATGAATAAAAGCCTAAGATAAATTCTTGATTGAAATCGAATATGACTTAGAAAAGGAAGATAAATGCTAATCTTGAGGATTGACTGATTCTTGTGTTAACTCTATTGTATAATGAAAGTTGAAATTCTTGAGCACATTATGCCATGATCTTGTGAATTGTGTGCAACTTGGTGAATGATTATGTGAGTTATATGGAACAATATGATCATTATGTGATATTCTAGAACTTGTTTGATTAACCTTTGAGGCGAAATCCTAGACAACATATTACTTTGGAGATGATTTAGGCCATATTTGAATCGTTTGAGCATTTTCAAGCCAACATTGATATATTTCAATCCTTAGTTACCCTTTTGAGCATTTTCAAAGCATATGATTTGCCACCATTCGAATTCTTTTCTTTAACACTCATTGTACTTAACCTGTCAAACCCGGAAAACCATGATCTACCCTTTAAGAGAGCTTAAATTTGCACAATGATGTCGATGAATGAAAGAAGGGAAGAAGAAAGAAAAAGAAAAAAAAAGTGTTGAGGAAGAAAGAAAAGAGACTTCAGAAATATATCATGAGCCTAAAATTATGTGTTGAAAAGTTTATTCACTACCCAAGAAAATTAAAAGAAATAAATTTGGGGGTTGTAATACATGTGAAAAATAAAGAATATGGGTATATCTAGAGAGTACATTTATATGTGCATATCCTTTTATGCTCTTTTGCTTTGTAATTCCTTATCTTTTCTTTGTTAGACCCTACCTAGGCCTCACATTACAAGCTTAATAAAGACCTATTGAAATAAAGTTTTATGATTGTCTACATTAGTGGAGAAGGACTATGAAGAGCAAACCTATGGAATATCCAAAAATTTCAAAGTTCCATTGGTTTGCATAATTTAAACTAAGAAGCATGCATGGCACTCAAAAATTGACAAAACACACACATACACACACACAAACACACACACACACACACACACACAAACACACACACACACACACTTCAATTTTCATGATGAGATTTTTTTAGCTTAAGATTCATGATAATTCTTGGATGGTATTTTGAATGCTTTCTAAGTTGTATACCTTATATAATCTTTGAGGCATATACTTTGGAAAATCAAGATAAGCAAAGCATGATTAATTCATGAGTTTAAGTATTTATTCATATTTTGACCAAGGACGATCAAAAGCTAAGTTTGGAGGTATTTGATAAGCCTATATTTGTACATATTTTCATACCTCTAACTTGATGATTTTGGTAATAATGTTTTTGAAATTAGCATGGTATTGCACTAATTATGATGAAATAGTCTTGCAAGATGATTTGGAGCTTAATTGTGCAATTTTAAGGAGGAGTTTGATTTAATTGATCAAGATAATCATAGAGGAAGGACCATGCAACAATGACTTTTTGCCTACAACTCAGATTGGGGCTACAACTCTTGTGTTTATCACTCAACCTAATTTCGCCGCCAACCAAGTGCAATTACAAGTTTCGGGGGGCACATCCTTAGAGAGAATTCAGCAGACAAGAGAAGAGGAAGTAGACTCAACCAATCAGAAGAGAAGAGGAAGTAATTTCAGCATGCCAGAGAAGGAGAAGAAGAATCCGAATTCAAGAAGGAGAAATGCTTAGTTGTTGCACTTGTCTTCTACCTTCAAAGGCTAAAGTTTTCTTGTTATTCTATTCATTATTTGATGTGTTTTTGCTGTGTTTCCACTTTAAATTTCTTGAGTATGTTGAATTTAATGATGTCTAGCTAAATTCTCTTACATAGGGTTTAGATGGATTTTGATCTTAAGATTATATAATTATTTGTTTAATTCAATTCAAGACATTTATTATTTGCATGAGGAATTATTTTTGCTATGCTTAATGCTTTAAAAGAACTGGCCAATCTTTTAATGATTTGATGATTCATGCATGACTAATCAAAGGATTGTTATGAATTAGATCCCTAGGCAATAAAAATTGCATGATAGACTATGATATCGAAAGATGATTAGCTCATGTGTGGGAACCAAGGAAGTTTAGTGAGTCAAATCCCCTTCTACGATTAGAGTTTTCCAAAGAGATTAATGCTTATTTTTCCTTTTGACAACCACTTAGAAATTTGATGGTAGAATTGGATTAATAAAGGATTAATATAACTTAAGAAAGATTATTAATTAATTTAGGAAAATCCACCATCACATGCAAATAACTTTATTATACCTTAGGATAATTTCAGTCTTGAGTTGGATGAAATAGGCAATTACATAACCTTGATTTAATGAAATCTAAACCCTATCTGCATTCATCCATCAATTCAGTTTTTATTAAGTTCTTCGATTTGCATTAATTCTTTTAGTTTTTATTCATTCAATTGATTCACGAGTTCAACTTAGGTTAGTTTAAAATTGATTTGGTACTGTAATCTAGTCTYTGTGGGATCGACAGTTTTCTYATCATTATACACACATTTGACTAAGGTACATTTGCCTGAATTAACTGTGCATAAATTACACAACAATGGCCACTCAGAAAATATGAATCCAGATTGTTGATTAATTAAATCCCCAAACATTGCAAAAAAAAGAATATTTATTTGTTCATAAATTTTCTATCATTTATTTATCTAATTAAATCCCCAAACAGCCACAACCTTAATTTAACCATAATTTGTTGTTGCCAATCTCTATTCTTGGGTATATTTATCCTAATTTTTTCCAGATCGATGCTGTCTGTATTAATTGTTAGAGACATTTCAAACTGCTTTCTTTTATTCTTCGTATTAAACAATGCATGATCATTTCCTGTACTATGTATTTGAAGTCAGAAGAGCTTACGAAGATGACAGCTATTGGAGAACTGGGTCCAAAAGGCTTCGGCAGTCAATGAGAGTAACAACAGCGTACTTCTCCGGGTGGTGATTGAGGAGGTCTTTAGATGAATGTGCGGCAATCAATCCAGCAGCGGCTAAGGCTCCAGATAATTTGATCCCTCGTTCCTTGCACACCTGCATTACAAACCCAATTTTTTATTGTCACTATTTATACAAGACTGGTGTTGCTCAAGGGAAGGTCTCACAAATTCCCTGTTGTCAACTAGTCAAATTGGTAAGCCAAAATATTTAGGTATTAGCATATTTAAATGTTAAAGCATGGTTTCTTTGCAGTGCAAATCCATTTTCATTGGTGCAGATGTATGATAGTGCAAATGAAATGAGAACATTGAGCATTGATCAAGACTAAGGATAAACTTATCCTTCCACACATGAATCGGTATACAAGACTAAGCAACTTGAACATTGATCAAAAAATGAAAAGAAGATCACTAAATAACCACCACAAAGTTAAGGATGATATGAAAATTCACAAGGGGCTGCTGCTGATGGACCATTCAGTGAAGTGATTCATATGCCATTTGAAAAAAGGAATGTGAGAACAGTTGATCAACTTTAAGCAAGCACCATTTAACAATTCTATACATAGAATACCATCTTAGTGTTCAAGTGTGTTGGATAACTATTATTCAAACTTCAAAATCTAAAATTTCCCAATAGAAAATCAAAGTAAAATTTCAGCCATAAATATGGAAGCAATCCAAATTTCAGCCAAAAGATCAAGTAACACAGAATGGATTGTCCCAAATGAATGTAAGTGTCCATGCTAGGGTGCATCTCAGATTCTAACACCCCATGGATTCTTGAGGAATCTCCTTGTTACAAAGTTTAACTTTTATACAATTTTCAGGGATATAGTCTGTAAGTCCTTTTTCAGCTTACCGAACTGGACTTCTAGACACACATCAGATCCTGATTTCCCAATCTGTGTTCATGAAACATATGAAGCATGTATCATAAATACAACTGTTCTAATTACAATCAAAGTAGCTCGTTGTAAGCCCGGTTAAAGATTCATAGGTTTCTCTATAGAGACTATTGTAGATACTTGGAAGAAGTGGCTGGTTTAGCTAATCAATGAACAGCAACGATTCAAGAGCAGACTGCACCAGAAACTGGGATGATGAAGCTTAACTTCAAAAGTAGTTTTCTAGGTAACCCTAAGTCTACGGGTGGAAGGAGTGCTCAGAGATCACACTGGCACCATTTTGTTGGGTTTATGTGATCCTGTTCATTAAGGGAATTTTACTCGCCCCACACTGAGGACCGGTTGGTTATGGAGAATCTCCTGAGGCTAAAATATAGGCTGTAGTTGGAAAATCAATGCACTACAAAGAAATTTTAGTGGAAAGGAACTCTCGTTTCATTATAGGATGGCTAAGTAAGCAGAATCCGCATAGACACATATTAAGCGAAATCACAACGGTAGCAATGGGGAAAGGAAAATATACATATAGACTCCAAGATCAGTTAACAATATTGCTGATAGGATGGCAAATGGAGAGGTAAAAGAAACCAAATGTATTGCAATCTAAACCCCTAAACTGTGGTGCTAAATAGAAGTCCCTCTAAAGTCAATGCCTTGGTTTGGGGTTTGGGGCTAGATAGAAATCCCTCTAAAAAGAACCTAATCAGGCAAGGAATCGAGATACAAGATATGATGTGTGTGTTGTTTGGTTAAGAAGAAGTCATGTCCAACTTCAAATCTTTCAAACCAGCAACCAGGCTTTGGCAATCCGATTCATCCAACACCCTCGTGAAGCCACAAATCTTTCCTGATTGCAATTGCTTCTGCCTGTACATGAGAAGCATTGATTAACAAAGAAAATTAGATGACACCCGAAGGGTATTTGTGTCCTTTTACATGTTTAACGTAGGTATTAAATTAGCACGTTTTGAAAATTTGATATTGGATTGACACATTTTAAAGTTGGGGGACGAAAGTGAGAATAATCTGCAATTTTCCCTTTTTTTCTTACTGAACATTTGAAGAGATTAAGAAATAATTTTTGTAAAAAGAGAGTGTTGACTGTTGATACAATTAGCTAGTTTCATTCAACAAGCAATCAAATAACTAAGATACATAGCAGACAAGCTCAAGTTTCAGAACTACTCCTTTCCCGGACGAAGCATCAGACTCTGTTGCCATGGTTTCCACCTCTGCGGGACCTCCACATTCCCCAACTTTTCATCCATGTAAATATCAATTGAATGCCGTGACTGAGGATAAGCAAGGTCATCAGGGTCAACCAAGTGATAACTGCTACTTTCAGTTGACGATCCAGGTCATGTTTACCAGTTGGTGTCAAGGCAATTATGGAAAACAAGTACGTCAATACCATAGCCGTGATGGCAACCCACATTGTT